TCACATGATAGCTTGTAAGGAAAAAGCATAGTACAGTTTTGAGTCATCCTAGTAAGGTACAGCCAACTGAACTCACCCCCAGATTCTCCCATACTTCTGGAAGCACTCTGTGTCAAAGTTAGTGAAACCCTGGAGAGAGAGAGAGAGAGAGAGAAGAGAGAGAGAGAGAGAGAGAGAGAGAGAGAGATAGAGAGAGAGAGAGAGAGAGAGAAGAGAGAGAACAGAGGAGTGGTGAGAGAGAGAGGATAGATCTATAGAGATATAGATATAGAATATCTATAGATAGAGAGATATATTTATATAGAGACATGATAGAGACATATCATAGAATGAGCATAGAGAGATATGTGATACTATATTGATTGGTGATATGCTTGCAAAGCAACCTTGGGAAAATCCTCTGTATTATCATTAACAGCAGACTAGTTCATTTCCTCAGTGAAAACAACGTACTGAGCAAATGTCAAATTGGCTTTTTACCAAATTACCGTACCACAGACCACGTATTCACCCTGCACACCCTAATTGACAAACAAACAAACCAAAACAAAGGCAAAGTCTTCTCATGCTTTGTTGATTTCAAAAAAGCTTTTGACTCAATTTGGCATGAGGGTCTGCTATACAAATTGATGGAAAGTGGTGTTGGGGGAAAAACATACGACATTATAAAATCCAGTTAAAATTAAAAAATGCGGTTAAAATTGTTAAAAAACACACATTTCTTTCCACAGGGCCGTGGGGTGAGACAGGGATGCAGTTTAAGCCCCACCCTCTTCAACATATGTATCAACGAATTGGCGAGGGCACTAGAACAGTCTGCAGCACCCGGCCTCACCCTACTAGAATCTGAAGTCAAATGTCTACTGTTTGCTGATGATCTGGTGCTTCTTTCCCCAACCAAGGAGGGCCTACAGCAGCACCTAGATCTTCTGCACAGATTCTGTCAGACCTGGGCCCTGACAGTAAATCTCAGTAAGACAAAAATAATGGTGTTCCAAAATAGGTCCAGTTGCCAGGACCACAAATACAAATTCCATCTAGACACCGTTGCCCTAGAGCACACAAAAAACTACACATACCTCGGCCTAAACATCAGCGCCACAGGTAACTTCCACAAAGCTGTGAACGATCTGAGATACAAGGCAAGAAGGGCCTTCTATGCCATCAAAAGGAACATCAAATTTGACATACCAATTAGGATCTGGCTAAAAATACTTGAATCAGTTATAGAACCCATTGCCCTTTATGGTTGTGAGGTCTGGGGTCCGCTCACCAACCAAGAATTCACAAAATGGGACAAACACCAAATTGAGACTCTGCATGCAGAATTCTACAAAAATATCCTCTGTGTACAATGGAAAACACCAAATAATGCATGCAGAGCAGAATTAGGCCGATACCCGCTAATTATCAAAATCCAGAAAAGAGCTGTTAAATTCTACAATCCACACAGGAAGCGATTCCCAAACCTTCCACAACAAAGCCATCACCTAAAGAGAGATGAACTTGGAGAAGAGTCCCCTAAGCAAGCTGGTCCTGGGGCTCTGTTCACAAACACAAACAGACCCCACAGAGCCCCAGGACAACAACAACAACACAATTAGACCCAACCAAATCATGAGAAAACAAAGATAATTATTTGACACATTGGAAAGAACAAACAAAAAAACAGAGCAAACTAGAATGCTGTTTGGCTCTAAACAGAGAGTACACAGTGGCAGAATACCTGACCACTGTGACTGACCCAAACTTAAGGAAAGCTTTGACTATGTACAGACTCAGTGAGCATAGCCTTGCTATTGAGAAAGGCCGCCGTAGGCAGCCTGGCTCTCAAGAGAAGACAGGCTATGTGCACACTGCCCACAAAATGAGGTGGAAACTGAGCTGCACTTCCTAACCTCCTGCCAAATGTATGACCATATTAGTGACACATATTTCCCTCAGATTACAGAGATCCACAAAGAATTCGAAAACAAATCCAATTTTGATAAACTCCCTTATCTACTGGTTGAAAAACCAGTGTGCCATCACAGCTGCAAGATTTGTGACCTGTTGCCACAAGAAAAGGGTAACCAGTGAAGAACAAACACCATTGTAAATACAACCCATATTTATGTTTATTTATTTTCCCATTTGTACTTTAACTATTTGCACATTGTTACAACACTGTATATAGACATATATATATATATAGAGGTCCTCTGTAGCTCAGCTGGTAGAGCACGGCGCTTGTAACGCCAAGGTAGTGGGTTCGATCCCCGGGACCACCCATACACAAAATAATGTATGCAGGCATGACTGTAAGTGGCTTTGGATAAAAGCGTCTGCTAAATGGCATATTATTATTACAAACCTTTTTATACTCCATCATAGTGCCAAGGTAAGGTAGGGGTTTGGGTCCAGGGATTCCCATCTTAGTGAATACACCATAGGGCCAGTATCCATACCTATACACATACACACACATTAACTAGTAATATATTCTAGAGAAGTATTTCCAAAAAATAAAAAAATATCTTTAACTCTGCATTGTTGGAAAATGACCCCCAAGTAAGCATTTCACTGTTAGTCTACACCGGTTAACTACTATGCATGTGGCATATAACATTTGATTTGATGTAATACAATTTCATTTGAAGTCCTTACACCACTATGAGGGTGATGAGGAGGGCCAGGAGTGTCCAGGTCTCAGCAGAGAAGTAGGGCAGAAAACTCATCTTTCCTCCGGTTCGGCTCCCTGCTGCTTCTAAAAACAAAGGTCCCGTTTTCTCTCAGGCTCGGTTCGAGTTCACTTGTCCAATGGTCTGACAGGTTTTGAGTTGTTTTTTTCTGTCCGGTTCTAGTGCGGTTCGACTACCGACCTTTGCTCTTCTCGGTATTCTGCTTGGGACAGTACAACTTGCGCGTGATTGTTGTATCCCGTCGGAAAAGCACCTGTGTGAAGCTAGCCACAATAAGGATGAGCCACAATGGAATTTGCAGTTCGCCTTCAGAATAAGAGTCCCATATTGAAACTGATGCAAACGGATACAAATAGTGGAATAATGCCATATTTGGACCAGGTAAAGCTGAACAAGGTTGGAATGTTGTTATATTAATTAAACTAAAGACAATAAGTAGTTAATTTGACACCCAAAAATAATAGTTAAAGTCACACTGTGGCTGTATTAGACTTCAGAATTGCATTGGGGCAAACTTCTATTGCACTGTACAGTGTTACCTCTGGATCTTGGGTCCATGAAACGTGAAGAATTTACACTAATATTAGCGTCGTAGCTCTTCCTGCAGGACTTTAACTGTGAGAAATCACCTGATTGAGATGATCTTGTCAACATCTACGTGCATTAATATCATAGGCAAATTGACTTTGGGGCTAATTCACCACATGAGGAAGTGAAAACTCAAAACACATTAGCTAGATCGCTAACACTAAATATAACATCCACTGCTAGTATCATGTATTAATCTAACAGCACATTTTATGTCCTAAAAAAAACTTTGCAGTTGTAGCCTTTACATAAAAATAAAAAATGAGGGGTTCAATTGGTATTGGTGTGTTGGTACCGATCACATGTACCGTCCTCCTCCCTTACCTCTTCAAGGAATATCCCATAAGCCTCTACATTATGGACAAGGTATGTGTATGAAAACCATTATCAAAACAGTTTTTCATTCACATTTACCACAAAAAAACAAGATATGAATACTGTAGTGTGCATGTTTTGTTAATCATCTGTATAATTACTATTTTGGGGATTCACAGACTTCACCCTCCCTACACCTCTGATGAATATAACAGGAAACCTGTTCGATCTCCATGCACTGCAAAATCATTCTGACTATGGATACGGAGAACATCAACACATTAATGTCAACACGCCAGAGGATATATCCATTGGACTTGGGGCTCTGCTGGGAGCTTACCTCATATTTGGATTTTTTATATTCTGCTTTATTCTGCTTTATTCTGCTTTATTCTGCTTTGCCACTAAAATCATAATAAACACTGACAACTAAAATATTGTGTTATTGTTGTTATGTGTATTATTATTATTATTATTATTATTAATAATAATACTACCCATAGGTGTAGGGTGGGTGAAGTCTGTAAATCCCCCAAAGTAGTAATTATTAATAATAATAATACTACGGGGAAGGGGGGGGGGGGGGGGGGGGGTTGTTCAAAAACTAACCCCAAAAGGTTCTTCAAAAGGATCCATTAAAAGGGGTTCTTTGAAGAACCATTTTAAAGGGTTCTCCGAAGAACTTATCAGGGTTCTCTCACAGTTTTAATTTGAAGAACCCTTAAAGGATACTCCAGCAACCTTTTCTTTTTAGAGTGTCCCCTATTCACTCGCAATGGGCCGATGCACACTTCGTATTTTAGAGTTTCCCCTATTCACTCGCAATGGGCCGATGCACACTTCATATTTTAGAGTGTCCCCTATTCACTCGCAATGGGCCGATGCACACTTCGTATTTTAGAGTGTCCCCTATTCACTCGCAATGGGCCGATGCACACTTCGTATTTTAGAGTGTCCCCTATGCACTCGCAATGGGCCGATGCACACTTCGTATTTTAGAGTGTCCCCTATGCACTCGCAATGGCCGATGCACACTTCGTATTTTAAAGCCAGATTAAATATCTCGGTTGTTAAATAGTTGCTATTGAGCTCAATATTAAGAGATGACAAAATAAAATATATACCAACAGAAATCTGAGAACAACAGCAGTTGATCCAAAGCTATGTATTCCCACAATTAGATGTAGAAATATTATCCAATCAGAAGGCTTTTTTTCTCTCACCCAGAGAGCACATCGGGTGAGAGGGAGAGCGTGGCTCACAGGTCCCAGTGAAACAGGCCCATGGGCTGGGAAATGCACGACGGGGGATTGATACTCAGCTGGTAGAGCACGGCGCTTGTAACGCCAAGGTAGTGGGTTCGATCCCCGGGACCACCCATACACAAAAATGTATGCACGCATGACTGTAAGTCGCTTTGGATAAAAGCGTCTGCTAAATGGCATATTATATTATTTTTATTATTAACGAGAGCACACTTCTGAAAAAAAGGGTAGCGAATCGTAACGCTGCCAGTGTGTTGTTTATTTGATGTAAAGTGTTGCATGATGCAACGTTGTTAATGTTGAGCTGTTATAAACTAAGTGTGATAAACCACTTAAGCTACACTAAGATAAACCATACTGTACTGTCAGTCACTCAAACCACTCTAACAGTCATGGTTTCTGACATGGGTTCTCACACAGAATTACATACATGTATGGGTGAGAAAGTATCGACATGTATAAAATAAACAATTCAAATACTGAGCTATAGTGCATGCTCCAAATGTATACAGTCTTTTTTGTTAATCTTTCTCACCCCACTGTATAATCTCATCTAATCTAATCTATTAGGATCTCTGTTCCTTGTCACCTGTGTGCACTTTCTGAAGTGTTTTGAGTGAATATTTCTAGTAGAACGGCAGAGCAGTTGTAAAGGTGTCAAGAGAATTTCTATCTCTAATTCAACCTAAGCTTGAATCATTACCAGAGGTTGTAAGGCTCTGGTTTTTAATCATAAATGATTCAAGGTCCACAGCCAGCAAGGATTATCTGTATTTTTATTCATGGGGAGCTCTGGCGCCAAAACCCATACACTCCTGTTTTATACCTCTTGACACACAAAGGCACTTTGCTCCGCCCACCTTTAGGAGGCTTTCTTAAACCGTTTCCACCTTTCTCCTTCACCCTGAAATGTTTAGTCCCGCCCCCCCCCCACCCCCCTCTGTTAGTGGGTTGATAATTGTAACACAGTTTACACATTTATACTGTATTTGGGGTGAAATCCTTTAGTCATTATTCTTAAAATACAAATTAATCTAACAACACCCCTTTGACTAAATGTCTTCACATTCAGGATAAATGTATTTTACAAGCATGATTAATCTCAGAGATCACGTCAGAACTAATAAACATTTCATCCAATTGCGGTCTTTCGGGGACAAAATCCTCGTCATCCACCAAGCCTGGAGGATCGTTTTTTCACATTCCCCTGGTCAGAGTCCGGAGTCAGTCCATCTCTCATCATTGTTCAGATACTGCATCTCACCAACGCCTGATTCACCAATCCTCGGACACAGGGAACAAGACAACAACCACATAATACAAGAATACCCATACAAACGCTGACCGCTCCTAAGATGGTGGCTGCTAGGGTTTTCCATTTACCAAATATTTCATCAAACCACCCTATCCACAATGTACTAACTTCTGAGTTCAGTTCATCCTTCACTTAGTGCAGTTAATTCTGCAAGAGCTCTGGTGACTGTCCCATCCAGTGTGGTATTGTTAGGGATAAATGTGCAACAATGGCTTATCATTCTATAGACACCGGCCCTTTCTGCCTGATCTAGAACCAACCTCTACTAAGTTATGAGCGGGATGGCGGATAATCGCTCGGAGATCCCCTTTACTGCATCTCTAGTCTGGTCAATAAATCGTTGTTGGTTGTAATAGATATCATTTATCCAATCCATATTTTTTGTTTATTGTCACCTACCAGAAAAATGTTGTGGTAAAACCCTCCCATATTTGATTCATAGCTTTGTATTCGTCTGGAACACCCCTGGGGATGCCTATACCATCTATCCAAATTGGGCTATTTCCTTCCTGACCTATATTTCTCCTCCTCCTGATTATTCTTCCTGTCACTGGTCTTTGATGACTAATTCTTACAGGTTTGGACCAACAATACTGGTGCCCAAGTACCCACCCATCCTTCTGGTAATGTCTGCCGAATGCTCCCTTTGTTAGTACATGCCCACCACACATCAGTCAGAGGGATGGTAAGGTTCCTAATTTTTTCCCTCCCTTTCCTTATCTAAATCAGTCACATTAATTTTCTCCTTACAGCCATTAAAATCACCCAAGTTACGGGTGCCATTTCTATGTCTGTAACACTGGTATTCGCCAGGAGTGAAAGCGAATCTAGGTGGGCTGGCCGAGTAAGTCAACTTTGCCAGCCCAATCCCTGTGCAATTTGGCTCTTTTTGATTGGACCCCAGGTCTAATACACAGGGAAACATTGCCTTTGGCATTGGGGCGGTCAACATTGTCGGTCGCCCAATGGAGCGTGCATAACAATTGGTCTCCCCCAAGGCCCTAGTGGTGTATTTCATCCACTTTAACCAGAGATTCTCATCAGGGACCCCCTCCACTTCCCCTTGGTTCCATTCTTGTAGGAGAAAATCTTTCATAGTGGATGGGTTAGTAGAATTGACTCAGTCATCCCTTGACTGATCTAATCTGTCTATTAATGGATTAATGACAATACCTGTGCCCTCCATATCTTTTGACTCCATCAAATGTAATCTTAGACAAGTATCCCGTCCGTATTCGTCCGCGCAAGCCCAGCAAGTTATTTTCATGTCCTCTTTAGTGACTTTTACTATCGTTACTACCATCTCCGTGGGGATGTCGTTATACCTTCTTATCCTCCATCTGGATGTCCAGCCCCCCCCCCCCCCCCCCCCCCGTCTCATATCTCCGTCCCCCAGTATCTCTAAATACCTGAGCCCAGGAACAATCCGCCGAGGGAGCTCTCCATTAATAAAAATACAGATCATTCTTGTTGGTTGTGGACCTTGAACCATTTATGATTAAAACCAGAGCCTTACAACCTCTGGTAATGATTCAAGCTTAGGTTGAATTAGAGATATAAATTCTCTTAACAAAAGGTCTGTCTCTATGTGTCCTCTGGTGTAGCATGAGGTCATAGGCACCAGGGAACTCCTTGAGTACACAGCCATGCAATCTCCATAGACAAACATTGGCAGTAGAATGGCCTTACTGAAGAGCTCAGTGTCTTTCAAAGTGGCACAGTCATAGAATGCCACCTTTCCAACAAGTCAGTTCGTCAAATGTCTGCCCTGCTAGAGCTGCCCTGGTCAACTGTAAGTGTTGTTATTGTGAAGTGAAAACGTCTAGGAGCAACAACGGCTCAGCTGCGAAGTGGTAGGCCACACAAGCTCACAGAATGGGACCGCCGAGTCCTGAAGAACTGAACAACGACATGGATAACATACAGCTGGCGGGATATACGATACATCGGCAGGATAGAATGGCTGCCTCCGGTAAGACAAGGGGTGGCGGTCTGTGTATATTTGTAAACAACAGCTGGTGCATACAATCTAATACTAAGGAAGTCTCAAGGTTTTGCTCGACTGAGGTAGAGTATCTCATGATAAGTTGTAGACCACACTATTTACCAAGAGAGTTTTCATCTATATTTTTCGTAGCTGTCTATTTACCAACACAAACCGATGTTGGCACTAAGATTGCACTCAATGAGCTGTATAAGGCCATAAGTAAACAGGAAAATGCTCATCCAGAGGCAGCGCTCCTAGTGGCCGGGACTTTAATGCAGGGAAACTTAAATCCGTTCTACCTAATTTCTACCAGCATGTTAAATGTGCAACCAGAGGAAAAACAACTCTAGACCACCTTTACTCCACACACAGAGACGCATACAAAGCTCTCCCTCGCCCTCCATTTGGCAAATCTGACCATAACTCCATCCTCCTGATTCCTGCTTATAAGCAAAAACTAAAGCAGGAAGCACCAGTGACTCGGTTAATAATGAAGTGGTCAGATGATGCAGATGCTAAGCTACAGGACTGTTTTGCTAGCACAGACTGGAATATGTTCCGGGATTCTTCAGATAGCATTGAGGAGTACACCACATCAGTCACTGGCTTCATCAATAAGTGCATTGATGACGTCGTCCCCACAGTGACCGTACGTACATACCCCAACCAGAAGCCATGGATTACAGGCAACAACGTTGTTGCCATTTCTTTTTTAATTGTTGGTATTTTACCCCCTTTTTCTCCCCAATTTAGTGGTATCCAATTGGTAGTTACAGTCTTGTCCCATGGCTGCAACTCCCGTACGGACAAGGGAGAGGCGAAGGTCGAGAGTCGTACGTCCTCCGAAACACAACCCAACCTAGCCGCACTGCTTCTTGACACAGTGCCCGCTTAACCTGGAAGCCAGCCGCACCAATGTGCCGGAGGAAACGCCGTACACATGGCGACCGAGTGAGCGTGCACTGCGCCCGGCCCGCCACAGGAGCCGCTAGTGCGCGATGGAACAAGAACAGCCCTGCCGGCCAAACCCTCCCCTACCCTGGACGGTGCCGGGCCAATTGTTCGCTGCCCCATGGGTCTCCCAGTCGCGGCCTGCAGCGACAGAGCCTGGAATCGAACCAGGATCTCTAGTGGCACAGCTAGCACTGCGACACATCTGCCACTCTGATCCTCAACACGGGGGCTCCTGAGGGGTGCGTGCTCAGTCCCCTCCTGTACTCCCTGTTCACCCATGACTGCATGGCCAGGCGTGACTCCAACACCATCATTAAGTTTGCCGACGACACAACAGTGGTAGGCCTGATCACTGACAACGATGAGGCAGCCTATAGGGAGGAGGTCAGAGACCTGGCCGTGTGGTGTCAGGATAACAACCTCTCCCTCAACGTGATCAAGACAAAGGAGATGATTTTGGACTGCAGGAAAAAAAAGAGGACTGACTGCATCACCGCCTGGTATGGCAACTGCTCGGCCTCAGACCGCAAGGCACTACAGAGGGTAGTGCGTACGGCCCAGTACATCGCTGGGGCCAAGCTTCCTGCCACCCAGGACCTCTATACCAGGCGGTGTCAGAGGAAAGCCCTAAAAATTGTCAAAGACTCCAGCCACCCTAGTCATAGACTGTTCTCTCTGCTACCGCACGGCAAGCGGTACCGGAGCGCCAAGTCTAGGTCCAAAAGGCTTCTTAACAGCTTCTACCCCCAAGCCATAAGACTCCTGAATATCTAATCATGGCTACCTGGACTATTTGCATTGACTAAACAGAGTATGCCCTTGTAAGGGAGAGGGTTAATACTCGGTCACAGGAACAGACAACAAGTGCTTGACATACGGCATTGGTTCCGGGCCAGATTGAGAAATGTTTTTTAATTTGATCTGATTACTTGTTTGGTCGCTGCTATCCCCGACAGTTTATTTTTTTTGTATTGCGAAATGAAGGTGAACTGTTCTCTGCGTGAAGGAGGTGAACTTCATGACCAGAGATTCTCTGCACTGTGTTTATAAATGCGGGAAGTACAAGAGAGCTGGAAAGTGTGGAGAGTGGATCAGTTGTTTGGAATGGAACCAGGCGAGCTACCAGGGCTGTGTATTTACATCCAACGGCCACACGGCGGCAGTATTGGGTTCGGAAAAGAAAATGTGTGGATGACCACGTCAAAACACTACAATTAGGCCTAGCTGAGTGAAATTAGAAATATTTCTTGATAAAGAACATCAATCAACCAATATATATATTGATTGTTCTCATGATTATGTGTTTGTGTCTTATGTTTTGATTTATGAATGTTAATAAATACACAGACGACCTCGTTCTTTAGTGGGATGATTTTTATTGGTTTGTGATTATTAAAGTTTAAAACAAAGCAGCTGCAGCGATCATTTCAACAGACGGTAAAGTTTCTATTTTGGAAAGACTGCACAGCAGAACACCCAGAGGAACAAAATGAGAGTAGAGTTCTAGAGAACACCAGTTAGAGTTCTAAATTCTAGGAGAATCCTAGCCTCCAGCCAGTAGTGTGCAGGATCCACACATGACATCTGCCATGGATTGAATACCCCTGGTGTCTGACTTTAACAAGACATGTACCCCTAATGCATCCATAGTATTACTATCTTTCTTTAATCTGGTGCAAATGTGTTTCTGAGCCCTACTCAAACTGAGACCAGGATTCAATCCCAGCTCTTTGTCAGCTATGCACCATTTAAAGGTAATTTCCGGTTGAGCCGACATATGCAACATTTATCATGAATGCAGTCTTATTGTCATATTATATTCAGTGGCCTATTGAATCCCAGCCCGAATATTCATTAGCCTATAGCAGGGTAAGGTCTGAATATTCAGAGATAGATAGATAGATCGATAGATCGATAGATCGATAGATAGATAGATAGATAGATAGATAGATAGATAGAAAGTTATATACTTTTGTGGTGCACTTCACAAAATAGATGGTATCATGAGGAAGGAAAAGTATGTGGATATATTGAAGCAACATCTCAAGACATCAGCCAGGAAGTTAAAGCTTCGTCGCAAGTGGGTCTTCCAAATGGACAATGACCCCAAGCATACTTCCAAAGTTGTGGCAAAATGGCTTAAGGACAACAAAGTCAAGGAATTGGAGTGGCCATCACAAAGCCCTGACCTCAAGCCTATAGAAAATGTGTGGGCAGAACTGAAAAAGCGTGTGCGAGCAAGGAGGCCTACAAACCTGACTCAGTTACACCTGCTCTGTCAGGAGGAAAGGGCCAAAACCCAACTTATTGTGGGAAGCTTGTGGAAGGCTACCTGAAACGTTTGACCCAAGTTAAACAATTTAAAGGCAATACAACCAAATACTAATTGAGTGTATGTAAACTTCTGTCTCACTGGGAATGTGATGAAAGAAATAAAAGCTGAAATAAATCATTCTCCCGAGTGGTGCAGCGGTCTAAGGCACTGCATCTCAGTGCTTGACGTGTCACTACAGACCCCCTGGTTCGATTCCAGGCTGTATCACAACCGGCCGTGATTGGGAGTCCCATAGGGCGGCGCAAAATTGGCACAGCTTCGTCCGGCTTTGGCCGGTGTAGGCCGTCATTGTAAGAATTTGTTCTTAACTGACTTGTCTAGTTAAATAAAGGTTAAATAAAATAAAATAAAAAAATAACAATCTGACATTTCACATTCTTAAAATAATGTGGTGATCCTAACTGACCTAGGACAGGGCATTTGTTACTAGGATTAAATGTCAGGAATTGTGAAAAACTGAGTTTAAATGTATTTGGCTAAGGTGTATGTAAACTTCCAACTTCAACTGTAGATAGATAGATAGATAGAGTGATAGATATACTCATATGTTAGATAGATAGATAGACTCATATGTTAGACAGATAGATGGTAGGGTTGGGTAGGGTACTCCTGCATTTGGTCATGTGTTTGGACTCTTCAGAGAGGTGGAGGGGGTGTTGCTACGAGGCTCCAGCCTCAGTTTGATTGGTCTTTTGGGCATCAGCAGACCCTGGATATCCATCTCAAACGGGATCTATAGAGAATAACAGAACAGAACATAACCCTGGTTGTCCATCTCCAACAGGATCTATAGAGAATAACAAAACAGAACAGAACATAACCCTGGTTGTCCATCTCCAACAGGATCTATAGAGAATAACAAAACAGAACAGAACATAACCCTGGTTGTCCATCTCCAACAGGATCTATAGAGAATAACAAAACAGAACAGAACATAACCCTGGTTGTCCATCTCCAACAGGATCTATAGAGAATAACAGAACAGAACAGAACCCTGGATGTCCATCTCCAACAGGATCTATAGAGAATTACATGACAGAACATAACCCTGGTTGTCCATCTCCAACAGGATCTATAGAGAATAACAGAACAGAACAGAATATAACCCTGGTTGTCCATCTCCAACAGGTTCTATAGAGAATAACAGAACAGAACATAACCCTGGTTGTCCATCTCCAACAGGATCTATAGAGAATAACAGAACAGAACATAACCCTGGTTGTCCATCTCCAACAGGATCTATAGAGAATAACAGAACAGAACAGAACCCTGGTTGTCCATCTCCAACAGGATCTATAGAGAATAACATGACAGAATTTAACCCTGGTTGTCCATCTCCAACAGGATCTATAGAGAATAACAGAACAGAACATAACCCTGGTTGTCCATCTCCAACAGGATCTATAGAGAATAACAGAACAGAACATAACCCAGGTTGTCTATATCCAACAGGATCCATAGAGAATAACAGAACAGAACATAACCCTGGTTGTCCATTTCCAACAGGATCTATAGAGAATAACAGAACAGAATATAACCCTGGTTGTCCATCTCCAACAGGATCTATAGAGAATAACATGACGTGACAGAACATGATATGACATGACAGAACATAGCATATATCTATTTATTTCAGGGACTGCAGATGTAAATGAGCTGTTAGCTAAATCTGGTGCAACGCATCACTTCTCAGACTTTTGTATCACCTTGTCCCTGTCCAAAGAAACGTAATCAATTATTTAACCCTGGATGCCAATCTCCAACTATGAGACGCTTTGTGAATACGGGCCCTTGGATTCAACAACTTGCATTATGGGATAATGTCCATTGAAAGTGTGTTTTAGTCCAGGACAAGGTTTAATACTGTGGTCCTTTGTAGCTCAGTTGGTAGAGCATGGGCCTTGTAACGCCAGGTTAACGGGGACCACCCATACCTAAAATGTATGCATGACTATATGTCACTTTGGATAAAAGCATCCTGCTAAAGGGATATATATTATTGTTATTTATATTATCTTATAATTATGTGTCCATGATCTCCAACTCACTGGTTGGACACTACTGTTTATGTGTGTGTGTGGGCGTGGGCGTTGTGTGTGTTGTGTTAGGGTGATCTTTGGACGTCTGATAACTCTTGTTACATAACCCTCCCCAGCCTTAACCACAATTCTAGGATTAGATCCCAGAGCCCCCAGTACTAACAGGAACCATTAGGTACTAATCTAACCACTGATCTAGGACCTGATTCCCCTGACCATGTTAAAACAGGTGGTGACCATGTTAAAACAGGTGGTGACCATGCTAAAACAGGTCCATGTTAAAACAGGTGGTGACCATGCTAAAACAGGTGGTGACCATGTTAAACAGGCGGTGACCATGTTAAAACAGGCGGTGACCATGTTAAAACAGGTGGTGACCATGTTAAAACAGGTCCATGTTAAAACAGGTGGTGACCATGTTAAAACAGGTCCATGTTAAAACAGGTGGTGACCATGTTAAAACAGGTGGTGACCATGTTAAAACAGGCGGTGACCATGTTAAAACAGGTGGTGACCATGTTAAAACAGGTGGTGACCATGTTATAACAGGTGGTGACCATGTTAAAACAGGTGGTGACCATGCTAAAACAGGTGGTGACCATGTTAAAAAAGGTGGTGACCATGTTAAAACAGGTCCATGTTAAAACAGGTGGTGACCATGTTAAACAGGTGGTGACCATGTTAAACATGCGGTGAGCAATGTTAAAAACAGGTGGTTGCCATGGTTAAAACGGTCCATGTTAAAACAAGGTGGTGACCAATGTTAAAACATGGGTGAACCATTGGTCAAAACAGGTGGTGACCATGTTAAAACGGGCGTAGCATGTAAAAGGTGGTTGCCATTTAAACGGTCCATGGTTAAAAACAGTCCATGTTTAACACAGGTCCAATGTTAAAACAGGTGGTGGCCATTTTAAAACATGTGTGTTGGCCCATGTTAAAACAGGTGGTGGCCATGTTAAAAACAGTCCATGTTTTTAAACAGGTTTTTTCCATTTAAACAGGTGGTGACCGTGTTAAACAGGTCATGACCATGCTAAACTGGTTGTGAACCAAGGTTAAAAATAGGTGGGTGACCATTTTAAACAAGAGGTGACCATGCTACAACAGGTGGTGAAAATGTTACCAAACAGGTGTTGGACCATGCTAAAACAGTTCCATGTTTAACAGTTAGTGACCATGCTAAAACAGGTCTATGTTAAAACAGATGCTAACATTTTTACATTTTAGTCATTTAGCAGACGCTCTTTTCCAGAGTGACTTACATGAGCAATTACATTAAGTGCCTTGCTCAAGGGCACATCAACAGATTTTTCACCTAGTCGGCTCGGAAATTAGAACCAGCGACCTTTCGGTTACTGGCACAACGCTCTTAACATTTACATTTTAGTCATATAGCAGACGCTCTTATCCAGAGCGACTTACAGGAGCAATTAGGGTTAAGTGCCTTGCTCAAGGGCACAACGACAGATTTTTCACCTAGTCGGCTCGAGGATTAGAACCAGCGACATTTCGGTTACTGGCACAACGCTCTTAACCACTAAGCTACCTGCCGCTACCAAGTTAACCAAGTTAAATCAGCTCCATGTTAAAACAAGTGCTGCGGCAAGTTACAGCCTCTATCCAACTCTATGAATGATACTGATATTTGATGATGTCATATTCCGTCTGCTCAGGTGAGCGTCTCACCTCGGTCTCGTCGCAGACGGAGAATGTGAAACTCTGGAGGATCTCGACCATGGCCAGTTTGATCATGATCAGGGCGAAACGCATCCCGATACAGTTCCTGGGCCCTGCCCCGAACGGCATGTACGTGTACGGGTCAATAGACTCCTTGTTCTCCTTACTGAACCTGGACAGGGAGAGGGCAGACACATTACACATTGGATTGGAGTTGATTTGTGGTTGTGGTTCAGTCACATTACACATTGGTTTGGAGTTGATTTGAGGTTGTGGTTCAGACACATTACACATTGGATTGGAGTTGATTTGTGGTTGTGGTTCAGTCACATTGTATTGTAGTTGATTTGTGGTTGTGGTTCAGACACATTACACATTATATTGTAGTTGATTTGTGGGTTGTGGTTCAGTCACATTACACATTGTATGTAGTTGATTTGTGGTTGTGGGTTCAACACATTACACATTGTATTGTAGTTGATTTGTGGTTTGGTTCAGTCACATTGTATTTAGTTGATTTGTGGTTGTGGTTCAGACACATTACACATTGTATGTAGTTGATTTGTGGTTGTGGTTCAGTCACATTTGTATTGTATTTGATTTGTGGGTTTGTGGTTCCGACACTTTACACATTGGATTGGTAGTGATTTGTGTGTGGTTCAGTCACTTGTATTGTAGTTGCTTGTGGTTGTGGTTTCCGACACATTACACATATATTGTAGTTGATTTTGTGGTTGTGGGTTCAAGTCACATACACATGATTGTAGTTGATTTTGTTGGTTGGTGGCTCATTCACATTACACATTATTTGTAGTTTGATTGTGGTTTTTGTTCAGGATCACATTATCCATTGTATGTAGTTATTATTTGTTTGTGGTTCATCCATACACATTGTATTGTAGTTGATTTGTGTTGTATTATCTGTCACATTACACATGTATTGTAATTTGATTTTTGTTGTGGTTCTGTTGCATTAACATTTATAGTTGATTTGTGGTTGTGGGTTCAGTCCACATTCCCATTGTAGTGAGTTGATTTGTGGTTGTGGTTCAGTCAATTACACATTGTATTTTAGGTGATTTTGTGGTTTGGTTCATCACATTACCATTATATTGTTGTTGATTTGTGGTTGTGGTTCAGTCACATTACACATGTATTGTAGTTGATTTGTGGTTGTGGTTCGTCAATTACACCCATTGGTCTTGTAGTTAATGTGTGGTTGTGGTTCAGTCACATTCACATTGTTTGTAGTTGATTTGTGGTTGTATTTTTTGTCACATTACATTGTAGTTTGATTTTGTGTTGTGTCAAACCCATTACCACACTTGTTGTTTAGTTTGCTTTTGTGGTTGTGGTCAGTCACATGACACATTGTATTGTAGGTTTGATTTGTGGTTGTGTTTTCTGTCGCTTACATTAGTTGATTTGTGGGTTGTGGTCCCGTCACATTACCATTGTAATTGTAGTTGATTTGTGTTGTTGTTTGTCACGTTCCACATGATTTAGTTGATTTGTGGTTGTGGTTCGAACGTTACGCATTGTAATGTAGTTGATTTTGGTTGTGTGTTCAGTCCACATCCACATTGGTATTGGAGTTGATTTGTGGTTTGTGGTCTCAGTCACATTAACACATTGTATTTAGTTTGATTTGTGGTTGTGGTTCAGCGTCACATTACACATTGTATTGTAGTTGATTTGTGGGTTTGTCATCACATCATTTGTAAGTTGATTTGTGGTTGTGTTCAGTCACATTACACATTTTATTGTAAGTTGATTTATGGTTGGGGTTCAGTCACATTACAATACACATTTTCTTGTAAGTTGAGTTGGGGTTGCGGTTCATCACCTTACATTGTAGTTGATTTGGGGTTGTGGTTTTCAGTCACTTACACATTGTATTGGTATTTGATTTGGTGGTTGTGGGCTCCGAACATTCCACATTGTATTGTAGTTGATTTGTGGGTTGTGGTTCCGTCACATTACACATTGTAATTGTAATTGATTTGTGGTTGTGGTTCAGTCCCCACATTGATTGTAGTTGATTTGTTGGTGTGTTTCAAGTCCATTACACATTGTATTGTAGTTGATTGTGGTTGTGGTTCGCATTCACAATTACACATTGTATGTAGTTGATTTTGTGGTGTTTTGGCAGTCACATTCCTTGTAATTGATTTTTGGTTGTGGTTCATGATCAGTCACATTACACAGTTGTATTGTAGTTTATTTATGGTTGTGGTCAGTCACATTAGCACATTGTTATTGTAGTTGATTTGTGGTTGTGTTTTCATGTTCACATTACTTTTAGTTGATTTGTGTTGTTGGTTCATCACATTACACATTGTATTGTAGTTGATTTGTGGTTGTTGGCTCAGACACATTACCACATGTAAATTGTAGTTGATTTTGTGGTTTGGTTCAGTCACATTACAGCCTGGTATTGTAGTTGATTTGTGTTGTGGCTCAACACATTACCATTGTATTGTGTTGATTTTTTGGTTGTCGTTCATCACACTACACAATTTTATTGTAGTTTAATTTTGTGGTTGTGGTTCAGTCCACATTACACATTTTTTTGTATTGATTTGTGGTTGGTGGTTTCAGAACACATTAACACATTGTATTGTAGTGGATTTTGTGGTTGTGGTTTCAGTCACATTACACATTTTATTGTAGTTGATTGTGGTTGTGGTTCAGTCACATTACAGCATCGTAGGTAGTTGATTTGTTGGTTGTGGTTCAGTACATTCCTTGTAGTTGATGGTGGTTGATGGTTAGACACCAATTCCCATGGTATTGTAGGTATAATAGTAATAATTAAATAATATAATAATAATTAGTCCATTTCGCAGACGCTCTTATTATCCAGACGACTTACAGAGCAATTAGGGTTAAGTGCCTTGCTAAGGCGACATCGACAGATTTTTCACCTAGTCTGTTCGGGGATTAGAAACCAGCGACCTTTCGGTTACTGGCACAACGCTCTTAACACTAAGCTAACCTGCAAAAGAAGAAGAAGAAAAAGGAAAGCTCCCTTGTTGGTCAGTTACATTCTCTATGTATCAGTGTGGTGGTGGGCTTGGTAGTCGGGATCTCCCCTGGGTGCTGGCAGGGGTAGGGGTTACTTCAGAGGGGAGGTCTTACTTCAGAGGGGAGGTCTTCATGGGGATCATTATTCTGGACTCCATGTGCTGAATCAGCGGAACTGTGTAATAGACAACCTCATCCCAGCCGTCATGTTGCCAAGCTGCGTTTCTGGTGTCTTCTCTCGACTGGAGGTCTTTGTAGGCCCAGAGGTGATGCACCATGTAGAGGCTGCCGATCTGCGAGAAGAACCCTCCCACAGCCTCACTGTTCTGCTGCCGTGGTTGTGGTTGTGGTTCAGTCACATTACACATTGTATTGTAGTTGATTTGTGGTTGTGGTTCAGTCACATTACATTGTAGTTGATTTGTGGTTGTGGTTCAGACACATTAAACATTGTATTGTAGTTGATTTGTGGTTGTGGTTCAGTCCACATTACACTTGTATTGTAGTTTGATTGTGTTGTGTTCAGTCACATTACATGTATTGATTTTGTGGTTGTGTGTTCAGTCACATTACACATCGTATTGTAGTTGATTTGTGGTTGTGGTTCAGTCACATTACATTGTAGTTGATTTGTGGTTGTGGTTCAGACACATTACACATTGTATTGTAGTTGATTTGTGGTTGTGGTTCAGTCACATTACACATTGTATTGTAGTTGATTTGTGGTTGCGGTTCAGTCACATTACACATTGTATTGTAGTTGATTTGTGGTTGTGGTTCAGTCACATTACACATTGTATTGTGGTTGATTTTGTGGTTGTGGTTAAGAACATTACATTGTAGTTTGATTTGTTGGTTGTGGTTCAGTCACATTACACATTGTATTGTAGTTGATTTGTGGTGTTGTTCAGTCACATTACATTGTAGTTGATTTGTGGTTGTGGTTCAGTCACATTACACATTGTATTGTAGTTGATTTATGGTTGTGGTTCAGTCACATTACACCTTGTATTGTAGTTGATTTTGGTGGTTGCGGTTCAGTCACATACATTGGTTGATTTGGGTGGTTTGTGGTTCAGTCCACAATTTATCACATTGTATTGTATTTGATTTTGTGGTTGTGGCTCAGCCACATTGACACATTGGTATTGTAGTTTGATTTGTGGTTGTGGTTCAGTCACATTACACTTGGTATTTGTCATTGATTTGTGTTTTGTTCAGTCACATTGTATTTGAGTTTGATGTGGTGTGGTTGCAAGTCACCTTACACATTGTATTGTAAAGTTGATTTGTGGTTGTAGGTTCAGTCCAATACACATTGTATTAGTAGTGATTTGGTGGTGTTTGTTATTCAGTCACATTACATTGTAAGTGATTTGTGGTTTGTGGTTCAGTCCACATTACACATTGTTTGTAGGTTGATTTATGGTTGTGGTTCAGTCCATTACACATTGTATTGTAGTCGTTTGTGGTTGTGGTTCATCACATTACATTGTAGTTGATTTGTGGTTGTGGTTCAGCATCACAATTAAACATGTATTGTCATTGATTTTGTAGGTTTTTTGTCTCAGACACCTTCAACACATTGTATTGTAGTTGATTTGTGGGTTGTGGTTCAGTCTCATCACATTGTATTGTAGTTGATTTGGGTGTGGCTCAGAGCACATTACACATTGTATTGTAGTTGTTTTGTGGTTTGTCGTTCATCCATTACACAATTGTATTTTAGTTGAGTGTGTTGTGGTTCAGTCACGATTACACATTGTTTTTTGTCGTTGTTTTGTGGGTGTGGTTCAGACAACATTACATTACACATTGTATTTTAGTTGATTTGTGGTTGTGGTTCAGAGTCCACATTACACATTGTATGGTAGTTGAAATTTGTGGTTGGTGGTTCTGCTGTCACAATTACACATCGTATTGTAGTTGATTTGTGGTTGTGGTTCAGTCCCATTCCATTGTAGTTGATTTTTGGTTTGTGGTTCAGACACATTTACACATTGTATTGTAGTTGATTTGTGGTTGTGGTTCAGCTCACATTCCACATTGTATTGTAGTTGCTTTGTGGTTGTGGTTCAGTCACATTACATTGTATAGTTGATTTGTGGTTGGTGTTCAGACACATTAAAACATTGTATTGTAGGTGATTTGTGGTTGTGGTGCCACTACATTACACATTGTAATTGTAAGTTGATTTGTGGTTTTGTGGTTCAGTCACATTAACATTTGGAGTTGATTTTGGTTGTGTTCAAGTCACCTTACACATCTTATTGTAGTTGATTTGTGGTTGTGGTTTCAGTCCCGATTAACATTGTAGTCTGATTGTGGTTGTGGGTTCAGACACACTTACACCTTGTTTATTGTAGTTTTGATTTGTGGTTTGTTGGTTCAGTCACATTACACATGTAATCTGTAAGTTGATTTGTGTTTGCGGTTCATCAACATTACACATTGTATTGTAGTTGATTTGTGGTTTGGTTCGTCAATTACACATTTGTATTTGTTGTTGAGTTGGTTTTGTGTTTAAGAACATTACATTGTTAGTTGATTTGTGGTTGTGGTTCAGCACATTACACATTGTATTTAATTTTGATTTTGTGGTTGTGGTTTCAGACACATGACACATTGTACTGTAGTTGATTTTGTGGGTTGTGGTTCGACAACAACACATTGCAATTGCAGTATAATGATGCCTGTGTTGTGGGTTACTTGCAGTCAGTGTGTTTATCCGTGTTTGTGGTAAAGTAGTGCTTAGTGTTGTGGTTGTGCTGTTGGGTTGTGATATGGTTTCATTGTGTTGTGCTGTGGTGGTGGTTATAGTTGAATTGTGTAGTGCTGTGGCTTGTATTTGGTTGTGCATGTGGTTGTGCTGTGGTTACATGTGTGGTCCCAGTACCTCTCGGTTTGAACTCCGAAGGGCAGACCAGATCTCTGGGCTCTGGGTCGCGGGGAGGGTCCACGTGGGAAACCCGGATAACCGAGTCTTTGTGGATGACGATGCCGTTGATCTCCACCGTCTTCTTGGCGACCCTCTCGAGTCGGGGGCGGCGATGGGGTACAGTCTCAGAGACTCGTTCAACACACTGTCCAGATAGTCCATCTGCATCAGAGCTTCGTACTGGATAGGAGCCTGAACCGGGGTTACACACACATCAGTACCTCACCACATCTGGCACCGGGGTTACACACACATCAGTACCTCAACACATCTGACACCGGGGTTACACACACGTCAGTACCTCACCACATCTGGCACCGGGGTTACACATACAGTACCGGTCAAAAGTTTTAGAACACCTACTCATTCAAGGGTGTTTCTTTATTTTTACTATTTTCTACATTGTAGAGTAATAGTGAAGACATCAAAATTATGAAATAACACATATGGAATCATGTAGTAACCAAAAAAGTGTTAAACAAATCCAAATATATTTTATATTTGAGATTCTTCAAATAGCCACCCTTTGTCTTGATGACAGCACTGCACAGTCTTGGCATTCTCTCAACCATCTTCATGTGGTAGTCACCTGGAATGCATTTCAATTAACAGGTGTGCCTTCTTAAAAGTTAATTTGTGGAATTTCTTTCCTTCTTAAGCCAATCAGTTGTGTTGTGACAAGATAGGGGGGTATACAGAAGATAGCCCTATTTGGTAAAAGACCAAGTCCCTATTATGGCAAGAACAGCTCAAATAAGCAAAAAGAAACTACAGTCCATCATTACTTTAAGACATGAAGGTCAGTCAATACGGAACATTTCAAGAACTTTGAAAGTTTCTTCAAGTGCAGTTGCAGAAACCCATCAAGCGCAAATAGGGCTATCTCTATCTTGTCACAACACAACTGATTGGCTTAAGAAGGAAAGAAATTCCACAAATGAACTTTTAAGAAGGCACACCTGTTAATTGAAATGCATTCCAGGTTACTACCTCATGAAGCTGGTTGAGAGAATGCCAAGTGTGCAAAGCTGTCATCAAGGCAAAGGGTGGCTATTTGAAGAATCTCAAATATAAAATATATTTGGATTTGTTTAACACTTTCTTGGTTACTACAAGATTCCATATGTGTTAATTCATAGTTTTGATGTCTTCACTATTATTCTACAATGTAGAAAATAGTAAAAATAAAGAAAAACCCTTGAATGAGTAGGTGGTTCTAAAACTTTTGACCGGTAGTTTACATCAGTACCTCACCACCGACTGACATCGTAGTTACTTTGATTGGGGACCACAGTTTAGTCCTCCTCCTTCATTTTGGTCATGGTGTGGGGGGGTTACCTTGTTGGAGGACACAGTATCTATCTCCTCCTGCAGTTTGGTCATGTTTGGGGTTACCTTTGTGGGAACACAGTATCTATCTCCTCCTGTCAGTTTTCTGGGTGTGTGGGTTACCTTGGTGTTGGGGAACACGTATTAACTCTTCTTGCAGTTTGGTCATGTTGTTGGGGGTTACCTTGTTGTGGAACCAGTATGCTATCTCCTCCTGCAGTTTTGGGTCATGGTGTGGGGTTTACCTTTTTGGAACACAGATCACTCCTCTTTGCAGTTTTTGGTCAGGGTGTGGGGGTTAACCCTTGTTGGGAACACAGTATCTATCTCCTCCTGAAGTTTGTGTCATGGTGGGGTTCCTTGTTGGGGAACACAGTATCTAATCTCCTCCTGCAGTTTGGTCATGGTGTGGGGGTTACTTTGATGGGGAACACAGTTCTATCTCCTCCTGCAGTTTGGGCATGGTGTGGGGGGTTACCTTGTTGGGGAACACAGTATCTATCTCCTCTGCAGTTTGTCATGGTGTTGGGGTTTTCCTTGTTGGAGAACAAGTATCTATTCCCCTCCTGCGTTTTGGTCATATGGTTGGGTGTTACTTTGATGGGAGAACACAGTACTAATCTATCTCCTCCGCAGTTTTGGTCATGTTGTGGGGGTTTACCTGGTTGGGGCAACACAGTAATCTATCTCCTCCTGCCGTTGGTCATGGTGTGGGGGTTTACCTTGTTGGGGACACAGTATCTATCTCCTCCTTGCATTTGGTCATGGTGTGGGGGGTTACCTTGTTGGTGAACACAGTACTAACTCCTCCTCAGTTTTGGTCTGGTATGGGGGTTACCCTACCTTGTTGGGGAACACCGTATCTATCTCCTCCTGCCCGTTTGGTCATGGTGTGGGGGTTCCTGTTGGGGACACAGTACTATCTCCTCCCCCTGCAGTTTGGGGTCATGGTGTGGGGGTTACCTTGTTGGGGAACACATATCTATTCCTCCTGCAGTTTGTCATGGTGTGGGGGTTACCTTGTTTGGGGAACACAGTCATCTATCTCCTCCTGCAGTTTTGTTCATGGTGTTGGGGGTTACCTTATTGGGGAACACAGTTCTATCTCCTCCTGCAGTTTGGTCATGGTGTGGGGTTTCCTGTGTTGGGGAACACAGTATCTTCTATCTCCTCCTGCAGTTTTGGTCATGGTGTGGGGTACCTTGGTGGGGAACACATTATCTATCTCCTCCTGCAGTTTGGTCATGGTGTGGGTTACCTTGACTTGTTGGGAACACAGTATCTATCTCTCCTCCATCTCCTCCTGCAGTTTGGTCATGGTGTGGGGGTATACTGACCTTGTTGGAACACAGATCTATTTCCTCCCTGCAGTTTGGTCATGGGTTTTGGGGGGTTACCCTTGTGGGGAACACAGTATCTCTATCTCCTCCTGCAGTGGGTCATGGTGTGGTGGTTATTACCTTGTTGGGGAACATCATTACATATTTTCCTCCTGCATTGGTCATGGTGTGGGGTTACCTTTTTGGGAACCGTATCTATCTCCTCTCCTCCTGCAGTTTTTGGTCATGGTGTGGGGGGTTATTTTGGGGAACCCAGTATTATCCCCCATCCTTGCAGTTTGTCATGGTGTGGGGGTTTACCTTTGTTGGGGACACGTAGCTATCTCCCTCCTCCTGCATTTTAGGGGTCATGGTGTGTGGGGTTACCTTGTTTTGGAAACACAGTATCTTATTTCCTCCTGCATTTTGGTATGGTGTGGGGGTTACCTTGTGGGGAACCCTATTTCTATCTCCTCCTGCAGTTTGGTCATGGTGTGGGGGTTACTTTCTGATGGGGAAACACAATTATCCTAATCCTCCTGCATTTTGAGGCATGGTGTGGGGGTTACCTTGTTGGGGAACACAGTATCTACCTCCTCCTTCGTTTGTCATGGTGTGGGGGTTACCTTTTGGGGAACACCGTAATCTACTCCCCTCCTTAGTTTGTCTGGTGTGGGGGGTTATTACCATTGTTGGTGCACACAGTATCTATCCTCCTCCTGCAGTTTGTCCATGGTGTGTTGGGGGTTACCTGTTGGGGAACACAGTAATCTATCATCCCTCCTGCATTTGGTCATGGGTGTGGGTGTTACCTTGTTTGGGGAACACAGTATCTATCTCCTCCTGCAGTTTGGTCATGGTGTGGGGGTTACCTTTTGTGGTGGAACACATTATCTATCTCCTCCCTCAGTTTGGTCATGGTGTGGGGGGTACCTTGTTGGGGAAACACGTATCTATCTCCTCCTCATTTGTGGGTCATGGTGTGGGGGTTACCTTGTGGGAACACAGTATCTATCTCCTCCTGCAGTTTGGTCCTGGTGTGGGGGTTACCTTGTTGGGGGACCACAAGTATCTATTCCATCCTGCAGTGGTCATGGTGTGGGGGGGGTTACCTTTTTGGGAACACAGTAATCTGATCTCCTCCTTCAGTTTTGGTCATGGTTGGGGGTTTCCTTGTTGGGGGAACCCAGTACTAATCTTCCTCCTGCAGTTTGGTCATAACTGTGGGTTGGTATCCAAGGTTATATGCCAGGAACCTCAGAGACGGCTACTGGTCTCATAGCCGTCAAAGAGTAAAGATCATGGCCCTGTAGCGCAAAAGATCGCATGATCATCATTCCTTTGGGAGAGTAGAGAGAGAGATGGAGAGTAGAATTGGGTATAAAGTTTGTTTGGTTGGTGTGTTTGTTTTAGTGGTTTCTCTATCTCTCGCTCTCTCTCTCCTCCCTGGCTCTTCTCCTCTCTCTCTCTTCTCTCTCTTCTCTCTCTTCTCTCTCTTCTCTCTCTTCTCTCCTTCTCTCTCTTCTCTCTCTTCTCTCTCTTCTCTCATCTGCTCTCTACTCTCTCACTTTTTTCCTCTTATTTTTTTTTTTCCCTTCTTTTTCGCAGGTTTTTGTTTGTAACCAGTAGTTAACAGGTGTGTGTGTTTTGTAACATTCAGTTACGGTGTGTGTTTTTTCTAGCAGTAGTTTAACAGGTGATGGTGTTTGTAAAGTATTTAACATGTATTGTTTTTTTTGTACATTAGTTTCCAGGTGTGTGTTTGGTAACATTATTTAAACTGGTGTGTGTTTGTAGCAGGTAGTTTCTCAGGGGTGTGTTATGTTAACAGTAGTTAACAGAGTGTGTGTTTGTAAACAGTGTGTTTGCCATCTGTGTGTTTGTAACAGTAGGTATAACAGGTCGTGTGTTTGTGTCCCCGTCATTTTCCAGGTGTGTGTTTGTAACAGTAGTTACGGTGTGTGTTTGTAAACAGTAGTTTCCAGTGTTTGTTTGGTAAACAGTATTTTTCAGGTGTGTGTTTTTAACAGTGTTTACAGGTGTGTGTTTGTAAAAGTAATTTACAGGGTGTACTGTACAGTCGTTTATCAGGGTGGTGGGTTGTTTGTAACGTAGTTAACATGTGTGTTGTTTGTAACAGTAGTTTCTCCCGGTGTGTGGTTGTAACGTAGTTTACAGGTGGTGTTGTAGCGTAGTTATCAGGTTGTGTTGTTGTAACAGTAGTTTAAGGTGTGTGGTTTGTTAACAGTAGTTTACCAGGTGTGTTTTTGTACAGTAGTTAACAGGTGTGTGGTTTGTCAGCAGTAGTTTTCCAGGTGATGTGTTTGTAGCAGTAGTTTTCCGGGTGTGTGTTTTTATCAGTAGTTTATCAGGTTGTGGTTTGTAACAGTTTTCCAGGTGGTGTGTTTGTACCGTATTTTACAGGTGTGGTTTGTAACATTGTAACAGTTATGTGTTTGTAACAGTAGTTATCGGTGTGTGTTTGTAGCCGTAGTTTAACAGTGTGTGTTTCTCTAGCAGTGTTTTTACAGCTTGTGTTTGTACCAGTAGTGTGACAGGTGTGTTTTGTACGGTATTTCCAGGTTGTGGTTTGTAACGTATTTTACAGGTGGTAGTGTTTTAAACAGTAGTTAACAGGTGTGGTTTTGTAACAGTAGTTTACAGGTGTGTGTTGGTACGTAGTTCACCGGTGGGTGTTTTTTGTAACAGTAGTTGATTAACAGTGTGTGTTTGTAGGCAGTAGTTAACAGGTGTGGGTGTTTGTACAGTATTTTACCGGGTGTGTTGTATTGTTAACAGTAGTTTACAGGTGTGTGGTTTGTAACAGTAGTTTCAGGTGTTTTTGTTTGTAAAGTATTTAACAGGTGTGTGTTTTGTACAGTATTTAACAGGTTGTTGTTTGTCAAGTATGTACAGGTGTGTGTTTGTAACAGTAGTTAACAGGTGTGTTTTTTGTACAGTAATGTCACTGTGTTGCTTTGTAAAAGTAATTTACTGTGTTTGTTTGTAACAGTAGTTACATGTGTTGTGTTTGTAACAGTAGTTTACTGTGTGTGTTTGTACCGTAGGTGACATGGTGTGTTTTTTTTTGTAACAGTATTTTAACAGGTGTGTTTTGGTAACATAGTGTCACCTGTTTGTGTTTTGTAACAGTATTTTACAGGTGTGGTGTTTTGTAACAGTAGTTAACAGTTGTTTGTGTTGTAACATAGTTTCAACAGTGGTGTTTTGTAAAGTTAAGTTTTCCATGTGTGTGTTTGTAACGTAGTTAACAGGTGTTTGTTTACAGTAGTTTAACGGTGTGTTTTTGTAACAGTAGTTAAACAGGTGTGGTGTTGTAACAGTATTAAACGGTGTTGTGTTTGTAACAGTAGTTCAACAGTTGTGTGTTTGTACAGTAGTTTCCAGGTGGGTGTTGGAGCAGAGTTACAGGGTGTGTGGTTTTGTAGCGTAGTTAACAGGGTGTGTTTGTAGCAGTAGTTTCCAGGGTGTGTGTTTTGGTAACATAGTTAACAGGTGTGTGTTTGTACAGTAGTTACAGGTGTGGTGTTTTGTAACTATTTCCGTTGGTGTGTTTGTAACAGTAATTTACAGGTTTTTTGTTTGTAGCAGTAGTCAGTGTGTGTTTGTAGCAGTATTTACCGAGTTTGTATTTGGTAGCAGTGTTCCCGGTGTGTGTTTTGTAACAGTAGTTAACAGGTTTGGGTGTTTTTTGTAACAGTAGTTACAGGTGTGTGTTTGTCACAGTAGTTTACAGTGTGTGTTTGTACAGTAGTTAACAGTGTGTTTTTGTACCAGTAGTTTACAGGTGTGTGTTTCTAGCAGTAGTTTACAGGTGTGTGTTTGTAACAGTAGTTAACGTGGTGTTTTGTAACCGTAAGTTTAACAGTTGTTGTTTTTTGTAACAGTAGTTAACAGGTGTTGTGTTTGTAACGTAGTAACAGGTGTGGTGTTTGTAACATAAGTTTACCAGGTGTGTGTTTGTAACATTAGTTTACCAGGTGTGTGTTTGTAACGTATTTGTACAGGGTGTGTGTTTGTAACGTTAGTTCCAGGTGGGTGTGTTGTAACAGTAGTTAAACAGGGGTGGTGTTTGTACAGTAGTTTCCAGGTGTTGTGTTTGTAACAGTAGTTTAACAGGTGTGTGTTTGTAACAGTAGTAACCGGTGTGGTTTTTGTAACAGTAGATGGTGTGTGTGTAACAGTAGTTTACAGGTGTGTGGTTTGTAACCGTAGTTAACAGGTTGTGTGTTTGTAACAGTAGTTAACAGGTGTGTGTTTTGTTAACAGTAGTATACAGGTGTGTGTTTTTGTAACAGTAGTTCCCAGTGTTTTTTTGTATACAGTAGTTTACAGGTGTTGTGTTTGTAACAGTGTTTTCGCTGTGGTGTGTTTGTAGCAGATTTTCCAGGGGGGTGTGTGTTTGTAACCGTAGTTTTCCTCACAGGTGTTTGTTGGTAACAGTAAAGTTCACCGGTGTGTTTTTTGTAACATTAGTTTACAGTGTGTGTTTGGATAACAGTAGTTAACAGTGTGTGTTTGTAGACAGATTATACAGGTGGTGGGGTGTTTTGTAACACGTAGTTTCCAGGTTGTTTGTTGTGTAACAGTAGTAACAGGTGTGTGTTTGTAACAGGAGTTTACATGTGGGGTTTTGTAACAGTATTTAACAAGGTTGTGTTTGGTAACGTAGTTTCACAGGTGTGTTTGTAAAACATTCGTCTAACCAGTGGGTGTGTTTGTACCGTAGTATACCGGTGTTGTGTTGGTACCAGTAGTTTACAGGTGTGTGGTTTGTACAGGTAGTTTTCCAGGTGTGTGTTTTGTAGCAGTATGTTTTCATGTTTGTGTGTTTGTAAACAGTAGTTTCCGAGGTGTGGTGTTTTGTAACAGTATTTAACAGGTGTGGTGTTTGTAACAGTCGTTAACGGTTTTGTGTTTGGTAACAGTAGTTACCAGGTGGTTGTGTTTGTAACAGTAGTTTAACAGGGTGTGTGTTTGTAGTGCGAGTAAGTTTAAACAAGGTGGTGTGTTTTGGCAGGTACCTTTATTCTGTTCCTCCTCCTGTCTTTGTTGTCGTCTGGTGTGGTCGGCTGCCTTTTCTGAAGTCGATCATCGCTTGTAAGAATTCCACCCGCTCTGTAAGCATAGAAAGAAATGATTGAATCATCCCATCACAGATCAACACAACATATTCTACTGTTCTGGTCCAATCACACCAACACAAACAGATTCTACTGGATTGGGCCCAATCACAACCAACACAAACAGATTTTCTAACTGGATCTGGGTCCATCACAGCCACACAACAGATTCTACTGTTATCTGGTCCAATCACAGCCAACCAAACGATACTCTACTGGAAGCTGGTCCAATCACAACCAACACCAACAGATTCTACTGAGCTGGTCCACTCAAAACCAACACAACCAGATTCTACTTGATCTGGTCCATCACAACCAACACAACCATATCTACTGGGATCTGGTCAATCCATCCACACAACACAGATTCTACTGGATCTGGTTCCAATCACAACAACACAAACAATTCTAACTGCAGGGTCCTCCATCTTTTCTAACATCAGAGAGTATGTGGCACTATGTTGTCAACTCTCCACCCGCCCCCTGGTCCTTAGAGAAAGTATTGCACTATGTTGTCAATCTCCCAACTCTCCCCTTGTCCTTAGAGAAAGTAGTGCCTATGGTCCAACTCCTCCCCCTGGTCCTTAGAGAAGTAGTGCAGCTATGTTGTCGACTATCCCTCACCTGGTCCTTAGAGATAGTAGGGAACTCTTTTGTCAACTCTCCCCCTGGTCCTTATGTAGATATTTGGGGTCCCAATAATAGTGTTTTTTCATTTGGCCGATATAGATAAGTATACCAATAAATAGAATGCAAAACTGCTATCCGTATGACTTAATTGGTGCCCATTACTATAGTGACATATGTTTCCTAAACCTAATTATACAAAAACAAAGATATACATTCAACCATGTGAAGTGTTGGTCCCATGTTTCATGAGCTGGACTTAGAAAGCTTCCCAGAAATGTTCCATACTCACAAAAAGCTGCCAATATTGTTTACATCCCTGTTATTGAGCATTGTCCTTTTGGCCAATATAATCCATCCACATGACATGTGTGGCATATCCTAAGCTGATAAACAGCATGATCTTCCACAGGTGCACCTTGTGCGGGACAATAAAAGGCCACTCTAATGTGCAGTTTTTGCAGTTGTCACACCGTCACATGCCACAGATTTCTCAAAGTTTTGAGGGGCGTGCATTGGCATGCGGACTGGAAGGAATTGTCCCCAGGGATGGTTGCCAGTAATGATTTTATTTTTTCTATCATAAACTAAACCGCTCCAACGTTGTTTTTAGAGACATTGACCGTACGTCCCCACCTGGCCTTAACACCGCAGACCCATGTAACCACACAATCCCAGGAATCTCCACCTGCGGGATCGTCTTGAGACCACCACCGCATCTGATTAAACTGAGGAGTAATTTCCTGTCCTGTAATAAGCCCCTTTTGTGGTAAAACTCGTTCTCATTGGGGGGCTGGGCCTGGCTCCCCAGTGGGTGGGCCTATGCCCTCCCGGCCCACCCATCAGCTGCGGCTGCGCCCCCTGCCGCCAGTCATGTGACAATCCATATATTGGTAGGGGTCCTGAATTTATTTATTTCATTCAATTGACTGATTTCCTTATATGAACTGTACTCAGTCATGTTGACATTTTTGGCATGTTGCGTTTATATTTTTGTTGAATATATTGTAATATATACTTCAGACTATTACATTACCAATCAAATATAAACATTTACAGTTGTGTTCCCAGTGCCCCGCCCAGTGCCGCGGCCAGATGTGATCTTAGCCCACGAGGCGTAAAAGAGAGTCCCGTCACCGCAGTCGTGATAACTCCTTACTAACCCTCCCAGCCTAACCACAATTCTAGGAATAGATCCCAGAGCCCCCAGTACTAACCTGAACCATTAGATACTAACATAACCACTGATCTAGGACCAGATTCCCCTGACCCAGTACTAACCTGAACCATTAGACAGTAACCTAACCACTGATCTAGGACCTGATTCCCCTGACCCAGTACTAACCTGAACCATTAGATACTAACCTAACCACTGATCTAGGACCAGATTCCCCTGACCCAGTACTAACCTGAACCATTACACACTAACCTAACCACTGATCTAGGACCAGATTCCCCTGACCCAGTACTAACCTGAACCATTACACACTAACCTAACCACTGATCTAAGAATAGTCCTGACCTGAACCATTAGACAGTAACCTAACCACAGATCTAGAGCGCGCCCCAGTGTCTTTATGTGTGAAGTGTCAACATAGAGTTGAATACAGGACTAGGGAGAATCTCCATTTCATTTCCTTGATTCCTCGCATTCCTTCTCATCCAATGGGTTTTGAGGAGGAGGCGGGGATAGAGAATGCGAGGAATCAAGGAAATACAATTGAGATTCTTCCTTATTTGCAACGATGGCGCTGACCATGTTAAAACAGGCGCTGACCATGTTATAACAGGTGGTGATCATGTTAAAACAGGTGGTGACCATGCTAAAACAGGTGGTGACCATGTTAAAACAGGTGGTGACCATGTTAAAACAGGTCCATGTTAAAACAGGTGGTGACCATGCTAAAACAGGTGGTGACCATGTTAAAACAGGTAGTGACCATGTTAAAACAGGCGCTGACCATGTTAAAACAGGTCCATGTTAAAACAGGTGGTGACCATGCTAAAACAGGTGGTGACCATGTTAAAACAGGTGGTGACCATGTTAAAACAGGTGGTGACCATGTTAAAACAGGTGGTGACCATGTTAAAACAGGCGGTGACCATGTTAAAACAGGTGGTGACCATGTTAAAACAGGTCCATATTAAAACAGGTGGTGGCCATGTTAAAACAGGTGGTGTCCATGTTAAAACAGGTGGTGACCATGTTAAAACAGGCGGTGACCATGTTAAAACAGGTGGTGACCATGTTAAAACAGGTCCATGTTAAAACAGGTGGTGGCCATGTTAAAACAGGTGGTGTCCATGTTAAAACAGGTCCCTGTTAAAACAGGTCCATGTTAAAACAGTTGGTGACCGTGTTAAACAGGTCATGGCCATGCTAAAACTGGTGGTGATCATGTTAAAATAGGTGGTGACCATGTTAAAACAAGAGGTGACCATGCTAAAACAGGTGGTGAACATGTTAAAACAGGTGGTGACCATGCTAAAACAGGTCCATGTTAAAACAGATGGTGACCATGTTAAAACAGGTGGTGACCATGTTAAAACAGGTGGTGACCATGCTAAAACAGGTCCATGTTAAAACAGGTGGTGACCATGTTAAAACAGGTGGTGACCATGTTAAAACAGGTCCATGTTAAAACAGGTCCATGTTAAAACAGGTGGTGACCATGTGGTCCTCTGTAGCTCAGCTGGTAGAGCACGGCGCTTGTAACGCCAAGGTAGTGGGTTTGATCCCCGGGACCACCCATACACAAAAATGTATGCACGCATGACTGTAAGTCGCTTTGGATAAAAGCGTCTGCTAAATGGCATATTATTATTATTATTATGTATAAAAAACAGGTCCATGTTAAAACAGGTGGTGACCATGTTAAAACAGGTGGTGACCATGTTAAAACAGGCGGTGACCATGTTAAAACAGGTGGTGACCATGTTAAAGCAGGTCCATGTTAAAACAGGTGGTGGCCATGTTAAAACAGGTGGTGTCCATGTTAAAACAGGTCCCTGTTAAAACAGGTCCATGTTAAAACAGGTGGTGACCGTGTTAAACAGGTCATGACCATGCTAAAACTGGTGGTGACCATGTTAAAATAGGTGGTGACCATGTTAAAACAAGAGGTGACCATGCTAAAATAGGTGGTGAACATGTTAAAACAGGTGGTGACCATGTTAACACAGGTGGTGACCATGCTAAAACAGGTCCATGTTAAAACAGGTGGTGACCATGCTAAAACAGGTCTATGTTAAAACAGATGGTAACATTTTTACATTTTAGTCATTTAGCAGACGCTCTTATCCAGAGCGACTTACATGAGCAATTACGTTAAGTGCCTTGCTCAAGGGCACATAAACAGATTTTTCACCTAGTCGGCTCGGAAATTAGAACCAGCGACCTTTCGGTTACTGGCACAAGCGCTCTTAACCACTAAGCTATCTGCCGCTACCAAGTTAACCAAGTTAAATCAGCTCCATGTTAAAACAGGTGCTGCGGCAAGTTACAGCCTCTATCCAACTCTATGAATGATACTGATATTTGATGATGTCATATTCCGTCTGCTCAGGTGAGCGTCTCACCTCGGTCTCGTCGCAGACGGAGAATGTGAAACTCTGGAGGATCTCGACCATGGCCAGTTTGATCATGATCAGGGCGAAACGCATCCCGATACAGTTCCTGGGCCCCGCCCCGAACGGCATGTACGTGTACGGGTCAATAGACTCCTTGTTCTCCTTACTGAACCTGGACAGGGAGAGGGCAGACACATTACACATTGGATTGGAGTTGATTTGTGGTTGTGGTTCAGACACATTACACATTGGATTGGAGTTGATTTGGGGTTGGGGTTCAGACACATTACACATTGGATTGGAGTTGATTTGGGGTTGTGGTTCAGTCACATTACACATTGGATTGGAGTTGATTTGTGGTTGTGGTTCAAACACATTACACATTGTATTGTAGTTGATATGTGGTTGTGGTTCAGACACATTACACATTGGATTGTAGTTGATTTGTGGTTGTGGTTCAGTCACATTACATTGTAGTTGATTTGTGGTTGTGGTTCAGTCACATTACATTGTAGTTGATTTGTGGTTGTGGTTCAGTCACATTACACATTGTATTGTAGTTGATTTGTGGTTGTGGTTCAGTCACATTGTATTGTAGTTGATTTGTGGTTGTGGTTCAGACACATTACACATTGTATTGTAGTTGATTTGTGGTTGTGGTTCAGTCACATTACACATTGTATTGTGGTTGATTTGTGGTTGTGGTTCTGTCACATTACATTGTAGTTGATTTGTGGTTGTGGTTCAGTCACATTACACATTGTATTGTAGTTGATTTGTGGTTGTGGTTCAGTCACATTACATTGTAGTTGATTTGTGGTTGTGGTTCAGTCACATTACACATTGTATTGTAGTTGATTTGTGGTTGTGGTTCAGTCACATTACACATTGTATTGTAGTTGATTTGTGGTTGTGGTTCAGTCACATTACACATTGTATTGTAGTTGATTTGTGGTTGTGGTTCAGAAACATTACATTGTAGTTGATTTGTGGTTGTGGTTCAGTCACATTACACATTGTATTGTAGTTGATTTGTGGTTGTGGTTCAATCACATTACACATTGTATTGTAGTTGATTTGTGGTTGTGATTCAGTCACATTACACATTGTATTGTAGTTGATTTGTGGTTGTGGTTCAGTCACATTACACATTGTATTGTAGTTGATTTGTGGTTGTGGTTCAGACACAACACATTGCACTGCAGTATAATGATGCACTGTAGTTGTGGTTCCATTGCAGCAGTGTGTTTATCCTTGTGTTGTGGTAAAGTAGTGCTTGTGTTGTGGTTGTGCTGTGGTTGTGATATGGTTGAATTGTGGTTGTGCTGTGGTTGTGTTATTGTTGAATTGTGGTAGTGCTGTGGTTGTATTGTGGTTGTGCTGTGGTTGTGCTGTGGTTACAGTGTGGTCCAGTACCTCTCTGGTTTGAACTCCTCAGGGTCGGACCAGATCTCTGGGTCACGATGGAGTGTCCACGTGGGAACCATGATAACGCAGTCTTTGGGGATGACGATGCCGTTGATCTCCACCGTCTTCTTGGCGACCCTCTCCAGTCGGGCGGCGATGGGATACAGTCTCAGAGACTCGTTCAACACACTGTCCAGATAGTCCATCTGCATCAGAGCTTCGTACTGGATAGGAGCCTGAACCGGGGTTACACATACATCAGTACCTTACCACATCTGGCACCGGGGTTACACACACATCAGTACCTCAACACATCTGGCACCGGGGTTACACACACATCAGTACCTCAACACATCTGGCACCGGGGTTACACACACGTCAGTACCTCAACACATCTGGCACCGGGGTTACACACACGTCAGTACCTCAACACATCTGGCACCGGGGTTACACATACAGTACCGGTCAAAAGTTTTAGAACACCTACTCATTCAAGGGTGTTTCTTTATTTTTACTATTTTCTACATTGTAGAGTAATAGTGAAGACATCAAAACTATGAAATAACACATATGGAATCATGTAGTAACCAAAAAAGTGTTAAACAAATCCAAATATATTTTATATTTGAGATTCTTCAAATAGCCACCCTTTGTCTTGATGACAGCACTGCACAGTCTTGGCATTCTCTCAACCATCTTCATGTGGTAGTCACCTGGAATGCATTTCAATTAACAGGTGTGCCTTCTTAAAAGTTAATTTGTGGAATTTCTTTCCTTCTTAAGCCAATCAGTTGTGTTGTGACAAGATAGGGGGGTATACAGAAGATAGCCCTATTTGGTAAAAGACCAAGTCCCTATTATGGCAAGAACAGCTCAAATAAGCAAAAAGAAACTACAGTCCATCATTACTTTAAGACATGAAGGTCAGTCAATACGGAACATTTCAAGAACTTTGAAAGTTTCTTCAAGTGCAGTTGCAGAAACCCATCAAGCGCTATGATGAAACTGGCTCTCATGAGGACCGCCACAGGAATGGAAGACCCAGAGTTACCTCTGCTGCAGAGGATAAGTTCATTAGAGTTACTAGCCTCAGAAATTGCAACCTAAATAAATGCTTCACAGATTTCAAGTAACAGACACATCTCAACATCAACTGTTCAGAGGAGACTGTGTAAATCAGGCCTTCATGGTCGAATTGCTGCAAAGAAACCACTACTAAAGGACACCAATAAGAAGAAGAGACTTGCTTGGGCCAAGAAACACGAGCAATGGACATTAGACCGGTGTAAATTTGTCCTTTGGTCTCGAGTCCAAATTTGAGATTTTTGGATCCAAACGGTGTCTCTTTGTGAGACGCGATGTGTATTTCCCACCATAAAGCATGGAGGAGGAGGTGTGATGGTGCTTTGCTGGTGACACTGTCTGTGATTTATTTAGAATTCAAGGAACACATAACCAGCATGGCTACCGCAGCATTCTGCAGCGATACGCCATCCCATCTGTTTTGGGCTTGGTGGGACTATCATTTGTTTTTCAACAGGACAATGACCCAACACACCTCCAGGCTGTGTAAGGGCTATTTGACCAAGAAGGAGAGTGATGGAGTGCTGCATCAGATGACCTGGCCTCCACAATCCCCGGACCACAACCAAATTGAGATGGTTTGGGATTAGTCATACCGCAGAGTGAAGGAAAAGCAGCCAACAAGTGCTCAGCATATGTGGGAACTCCTTCAAGACTGTTGGAAAAGCATTCCAGGTGACGCTGGTTGAGAGAATGCCAAGAGTGTGCAAAGCTGCCATAAAGGCAAAGGGTGGCTATTTGAAGAATTTCAAATAGCGCTTGATGGTTTTTGCGACTGCACTTGAAGAAACTTTTCAAAGTTCTTGAAATGTTCCGTATTGACTGACCTTCATGTCTTAAAGTAATGATGGACTGTAGTTTCTTTTTGCTTATTTGAGCTGTTCTTGCCATAATAGGGACTTGGTCTTTTACCAAATAGGGCTATCTTCTGTATACCCCTCTATCTTGTCACAACACAACTGATTGGCTTAAGAAGGAAAGAAATTCCACAAATGAACTTTTAAGAAGGCACACCTGTTAATTGAAATGCATTCCAGGTTACTACCTCATGAAGCTGGTTGAGAGAATGCCAAGTGTGCAAAGCTGTCATCAAGGCAAAGGGTGGCTATTTGAAGAATCTCAAATATAAAATATATTTGGATTTGTTTAACACTTTCTTGGTTACTACAAGATTCCATATGTGTTAATTCATAGTTTTGATGTCTTCACTATTATTCTACAATGTAGAAAATAGTAAAAATAAAGAAAAACCCTTGAATGAGTAGGTGTTCTAAAACTTTTGACCGGTAGTTTACATCAGTACCTCACCACATCTGACATCGGGGTTACTTTGATGGGGAACACAGTATCTATCTCCTCCTGCAGTTTGGTCATGGTGTGGGGGTTACCTTGTTGGGGAACACAGTATCTATCTCCTCCTGCAGTTTGGTCATGGTGTGGGGGTTTCCTTGTTGGAGAACACAGTATCTAATTCCTCCTGCAGTTTGGTCATGGTGTGGGGGTTACTTTGATGGGGAACACAGTATCTATCTCCTCCTGCAGTTTGGTCATGGTGTGGGGGTTACCTTGTTGGGGAACACAGTATCTATCTCCTCCTGCAGTTTGGTCATGGTGTGGGGGTTACCTTGTTGGGGAACACAGTATCTATCTCCTCCTGCAGTTTGGTCATGTTGTGGGGGTTACTTTGATGGGGAACACAGTATCTAATTCCTCCTGCAGTTTGGTCATGGTGTGGGGGTTACCTTGTTGGGGAACACAGTATCTAACTCCTCCTGCAGTTTGGTCATGGTATGGGGGTTACCTTGTTGGGGAACACAGTATCTATCTCCTCCTGCAGTTTGGTCATGGTGTGGGGGTTACCTTGTTGGGGGAACACAGTATCTATCTCCTCCTGCATTTGGTCATGGTGTGGGGGTTACCTTGTTGGGGAACACAGTATCTATCTCCTCCTGCAGTTTGGTCATGGTGTGGGGGTTACCTTGTTGGGGAACACAGTATCTATCTCCCTCCTGCAGTTTGGGTCATGGTGTGGGGGTTACCTGTTGGGGAACACAGTATCTATCTCCTCCTGCAGTTTGGGTCCTGGTGTGGGGGTTACCCTTGTTGGGGAACACAGTATCTAAACTCCTCCTGCAGTTTGGTCATGGTGTGGGGTTTTCTTTGATGGGGAACACATATCTATCTCCTCCTGCAGTTTGGTCATGGTGTGGGGTTACCTTGTTGGGAACACAGGGATCTAACTCCCCCTGCAGTTTGGTCAGGTGTGGGGGTTACCTGTTGGGGAACAAACTATCTATCTCCTCCTGCAGTTTGGTCTGACAGGGGTTGGGTAGCCAGGTATAGGCCAGGAACTCAGATAACGCTGCTGGTCTCGTAGCCGGCAAGTAAGATCATGGCCTGAGACAAATCTCATGATCATCTCCTGTGGGGGGGGGGGGTGGGGGGGGGGTGTAATTAGAGAGAGAGAGATCCCTAGACGATAGAGACATAGGTAGCCGGTTAAGAATATAAGAGAGAGTGAGAAGAGCAGGTTGTTTACAGGTGTGTGTTTTTAACGTAGTTTCCAGTGTGGTTTTGTAAAAGTAGTTAACATGTGTTGTTTTGTAACTAGTTTACAGTTTGTTTTCTAGCATATTTTACAGGTTTTTTTAACCTTTGTTAACATTTTGGTTTTTCATTTTCGGTTGTTTTGTACTAGTTTCAGGTGGTGTTTGTCTTAAAAGGTGTGTGTTTGTACATAGTTTCAGTGTGTTTTGTAACAGTAGTATACAGGTGTGTGTTTGTAACAGTAGTTTTACAGGTTTTGTGTTTTGTAACATTGTTTACAGGTGTGTGTTTGTAACAGTAGTTTACAGGTGTGTGTTTGTAAAAGTAATTTACAGGTGTGTTTGTAACAGTAGTTTACAGGTGTGTGTTTGTAAAAGTAGTTTACAGGTGTGTGTTTGTAACAGTAGTATACGGGGTGTGTTTGTAACAGTAGTTTACAGGTGTGTGTTTGTAACAGTAGTTTACAGGTGTGTGTTTGTAGCAGTAGTTAACAGGTGTGTGTTTGTAACAGTAGTTTACAGGTGTGTGTTTGTAACAGTAGTTTACAGGTGTGTGTTTGTAACAGTAGTTTACAGGTGGTTGTGTTTGTAACAGTAGTTTACAGGTGTGTGTTTGTAGCAGTAGTTAACAGGTGTGTGTTTGTAGCATTTGTTTCCAGGTGGGGTGTTTGTAGCATAGTTTTTCCCGGTGTGTGTTTGTAGCAGTAGTTTACAGGTGTGTGTTTGTAACCAGTAGTTTCCAGTGTGTGTGTTTGTAACAGTAGTTTACAGTGTGTTTGTAACAGTAGTTAAAAGGGATGTGTTTGTAACAGTAATTTAACAGGTGTGTGTTTGTAGCAGTAGTTAACAGGTGTGTGTTTTTTAGCAGTAGTTTTTTCAGCTGTGTGTTTGTAACAGTATTTACAGGTGTGTGTTTGTAACAGTAGTTTTACAGGTGGTGTTTTTTAACCCGTAGTTTACAGGTGTTTTTTTCTAGCAGTAAGTTTACGCTGTGTGTTTTGTAACAGTAGTTTTCAGGTGTGTGTTGGTAACAGTAAGTTAACAGGTGTGTGTTTGTAACAGTAGTTAAAAAGGTGTTTTGTTTGTAGCAGTAGTTTACAGGTGTGTGTTTGTAGCAGTAGTTTACAGGTGTGTGTTTGTAACAGTAGTTTACAGGTGTGTGTTTGTAACAGTAAATTTAAAAGGTGTGTTTTTGTAAGTATTTACAGGTGTTTTGTAACAGTAGTTTACAGGTGTTTTGTTTGTAACGTAGTTTACAGGGTGTGTTTTGTAACATAGTTTACAGGTGGTGTTTTGTAACGTAGTTTTACAGGTTTGTTTTGTAGCAGTATTAACAGGTGTGTGTTTGTACAGTAGTTTACAGGTGTGTGTTTTGTAACAGTAGTTTTCCAGGTGTGTGTTTGTAACAGTAGTTTTTTCCCGGTGTGTGTTTGTAACATTTTTTTTAAACAGGTGTGTTTGTACAGTAGTTAACAGGTGTGGGTTTGTAAGCAGTATTTCCAGGTGTGTGTTTGTAGCAGTAGTTTTCCAGGTTTTGTGTTTGTAAACAGTAGTTTAAAAGGTGTGTGTTTGTAACAGTAGTTTTCCAGGTGTGTTTTAACAGTATTTAACAGGTGTGTTTTTAACATATTACAGGTATGTGTTTTTTTAACAGTAAATTAACAGGGGTGTGTTTGTAGCAGTATTTAACAGGGGTGTGTTTGTAGCAGTAGTTTACAGTGGTGTGGTTTGTAACAGTAGTTTACAGGTGTGTGTTTTGTAACAGTAGTTTACAGGTGTGTGTTTGTAACAGTAGTTTACAGGTGTGTGTTTGTAACAGTAGTTTACAGGTGTGTGTTTGTAGCAGTAGTTTACAGGTGTGTGTTTGTAACAGTAGTTTACAGTGTGTGTTTGTAACAGTATTACAGTGTGGTTTTTAACAGTAGTTAACAGGTGTGTGTTTGTAACAGTAGTTAACAGGTGTGTGTTTGTAGCAGTAGTTTACAGGTGTGTGTTTGTAACAGTAGTTTACAGGTGTGTGTTTGTAACAGTTTAACGGTGTGTGTTTGTAACAGTAGTTACAGGTGTGTGTTTCGTAACAGTAGTTTACAGGTGTGTGTTTTTACAGTAGTTAAAAGGTGTTTTCTAGCAGTAGTTTACGCTGTTGTTTGTAACAGTATTTACAGGTGTGTTTTTTGTACTATTTACAGTTGGTGTTTGTACAAATTTCAGGTGTGTGTTTCTAGCAGTTTAAATTTTCAGCGTGTGTTTGTAACGTAGTTTACAGGTTGTGTTTGGTAACAGTAGTTTTAACAGGTGTGTGTTTGTAACAGTAGTTAACAGGTGTGTGGTTTTTTTAGCAGTAGTTAACCCGGTGTTTTGTTTGTAGCAGTATTTACAGGTGTGTTTTGTAACAGTAGTTTTACAGGGGTGTGTTTTTTAACAGTAGTTTACAGGTGTGTGTTTGTAAAGTAATTTACAGGTGTGTTTTTTAACAGTAGTTTCCAGGGGTGTGTTTGTAAAGTAGTTTACAGGTGGTGTGTTTTTTAACAGTAGTTTACAGGTGTGTGTTTGTAACAGTAGTTTTACAGGTGTGTGTTGTAGCATAGTTAACAGGTGTGTGGGTTTTTAACATTTGTTTACAGTGTGTTTTGTAACAGTAGTTTCCAGGTGTGTGTTTGTAACAGTAAATTTACAGGTGTGTGTTTTGTAACAGTAGTTTTTTAGGGTGTGGTTTGTACATAGTTAACAGGTGTGTTTTGTAGCAGTAGTTCCAGGGGTGTGTTTTGTAGCAGTAGTTCCAGGTGTGTTTGTAGCAGTAGTTTACAGGGGTGTGTTTGTACCCGTATTTCCAGTGTTTGTTTTGTAACAGTATTTACAAGTGTGTTTTTAAGTATTAAAAGATTGTTTGTAACGATTAAAGGGGTTTGTTTGTACAGATTAAAAGGTGTGTGTTTCTACATAGTTTCACGGGGTGGTAACCGTAGTTTACCAGGTGTGTTTGTACCGTAGTTTACAGGTGTGTGTTTGTAACAGTATTTACAGGTGTGTTTGTAAAAAGAGTTTACAGGTGTGTTTTCTAACATAGTTTACGCTGTGTGTTGTAACAGTAGTTACCCGTGTGTGTTGGTAAAAGTATTAACAGGTGTGTGTTTGTAACAGTAGTTAACCCGGTGTGGTTTGTAGGGAGTAGTTAACAGGTGTTGTTTTAGCAGTATTTTACAGGTGTGTGTTGTAACCCGTATTTACACGTGTGGGGTTTGTAACAGTAGTTAACAGGTTGTTTGTAACGTGTTAACAGGTGGTGTTGTAACAGTAAAGTTAACAGGTGTGGTTTTGTAAAAAGAATTTACAGGTGTGTGTTTGTAACAGTAGTTAACAGGTGTGTGTTGTAACATAGTTTCCAGGTGTGTGTTTGTAAGTAATTTACAGGGGTGTGTTTTAACAGTAGTACAGTGGTTTGTAACGTAGTTTAAGGTGTGGTGTTTGTACATATTGACGTGTGTTTTTGTAACAGTAGTTCAGGTGTTTTGTTTGTCGTGTTTACAGGTGTGTGTTGTCGTTTTCGGTTTTTTTTTGTCATTCAGTGTGTGTTTGTAACCCTAGTTTACAGGTGTGTGTTGTAAAGTAGTTTCCGGTGTGGTGTTTTGGGAACAGTAGTTAACAGGTGTGGGTTTGTAAAAAGTAGTTAACAGGGGTGTTTTGTAACATAGTAACAGGTGTGTGTTTGTAACAGTAGTTACCCGTGTGGTGTTTGTAAAAGAGTTAACAGTGTGTGTTTGTAACAGTAGTTACAGTTGGTTTTGTACAGTATTCTGTTTTGTTTTGTAGCATAGTTTTAAAGGGGTTTTGTTTGCCCGTAGTTTTCCAGGGTTGTTTTAACATAGTAACAGTGTGTGTTTGTAACAGTAGTTTACAGGTGTTGTTTTAACAGTAGTTTCCAGGTGTGTGTTTGTAACATATTACAGGTGTTGTTGTAGCATAGTTTACAGGTGTGTGTTTGTAGCAAGTTACAGTGTGTGTTTGAGCAGTAGTTTCCCCGTGTGTGTTGTAACAGTAGTTAACCCGGTGTTGTTTTGTAACAGTATTTACAGGTGTGTGTTTGTAACAGTAAGTTTACAGGTTGTTGTTTGTAACATAGTAACAGGTGTTGTTTGTAACAGTAGTTGACAGGTGTGTGTTTGTAACAGTATTTTCCAGGTGTGTGTTTGTAACCCGTAGTTAACAGGTGGTTTTTGTAACAGTAGTTAACAGGTGTGTGTTTGTAAAAGTAAATAACAGGTGTGTTTTGGGAAAAGTAGTAACAGGTGTGTTTTGTAACGTAGTTTGTACAGGTGTGGTTTGTAACATAGTTACAGGGGTTTTGTTTGTA